CAAATATTAATGCAATACTTAAATGCAGCAATCAATTTTGAGTTCTGTAATTTATTGTTGCCTATTGCAACTACTCCCTACCTATTGTGATGAAGGCTCAATCAAGGGCTCTCTGCAGGAACTAATTTAAATACCACCAAATAAGACAGCTTTTAAGCTAGTATAACATAATTGAATGTAGACAGAATTTTGGTTAATAAAGTGCTCAATAATAACGTAGATCAATAATTGTTCCAATAATATTAAAAGTTTGGGATACTTAATACAATTTTGAAACTTTTGAGTTGGTATTCAATAATGTGTTCTCAACTTTTAATATATTTGATACAATTATAGGTAACAGACTTTTAATTAATCCTTATATTTTCTGTTTGATTCTTCTGCCTAATTGCAGTAAATTTTGATGATGGTCCAAGTTGTATCTTTCAATAAACTATCATGCAAAGCAACAAAAGAATTAGTTGGACCTTATTGAAGTCTGGGGGAAAATGATTTTAGAGTTTTGTGTCTTCTTGGCAGCTAAAAGTCATATCTTAGACACTTTTGCAAAGCCATGATATTTTTCACCCTTCTCATATATACTTTCTTCAAATGGGGGACCAGAGAATGCTTGCTTTCAGTTTACATTACCCATCTATTTTCATCATTGACAGTTTCAAAAGAACTTCTTCATCACTACACTTCTAAATGAATTTGATTCAACTCTAGTCTGAATGAAACCATTGAATAGGATTTTTGGTGTGAGAGATAGAAGCGCACACACACACACACACAAGAAATTAGGGGTAATCTTTTTCTTTTACTATGGAGTATTAAAGGGATTAATTAGCAAAATATTAGTGAAAACAAAAAAGACACTTATCAGAAAAAGACAATTGAAATTTCTGGGAAAGAGGTATTAAAAAATTTGACAGTTACAGGACTTATTGAAGACAAAATGACCTGAGAAAAGCCGTGCATAACCTACCTAACGAGCTTGTGTAAATGGTTAGCAGAACAAGGATCAGGAGAGATTGCAAAGAAACAAACTTTACTAAGAGCAACAAATGGCAGGAAAATGTGGAGAGCTACGATCATCCATATCCTGAAGGAACACAGTACATAAGTCACAAAACTGAATTTTTCATATGCGATCAATTGCCAAATATGAACATAAAAAATTTACCATTTTGAAATCTCTTACAGGTCATACTGGTTGGTTTCACAAGCTGCATTTTGTCAGGCTTCGTACACAAGCAAAACATAAACTAATAATCAATTTACATGCTTAGTATTGAAAACAACTTTTAATAATGAAAAAATTCATATTTGAAGTTTCTAATAAATTTCTTTGGCAACAAGATCTAGAATTACCCAAGTTTTTACTTTTTAAATGATTCATTTTTGTGAAAGGTTAATAAAAAAAAATTCATTATTAATTTGACTGGTATTATTTTCTGATAAATAAAATCAAAATCAAAATATTGTCTACAAAATAGATCAGCTGAGAGTAAATTTCTTTTACACACAGCATGTACTATTTACATTTGGACTAATATCCTAATCTTTGTTGTTATCACAACATTTCAGCCATTGTGCTCTCTGGCTTTTTTCAGGTTTCTGTTGATCTGGGAAACCTTCAGGTAATTTTGAACTTTATTTAAAGTAGTAGTTCTTGTTCTTTTATCCAACTCTAGTGATATCTTGCTCTTTTTAATACTACTCAGTTATTGCTCACCATTATTACTTAGTCTATCTGCATTGCCCAGCCCAGAGATTGAACTATGTTTTTATAATGCCATGAAATCCACAAACTAACACTTTAATCCACTATTGTCTATAGGCTGGGTATTACAGATTCAGTGGAAATGGAGTAGTACTAAAAAAGAACAAGATGAGATATCCTTATACATGAACAACAGAACAAGAACAATCTACTTGCTATAGATTAGAGTTCAGTTTGAAATTCCCTGAAAATTCCCTAGATTGACAGACACCTGAAGAAAGCCAGTGAGTGCAACAGCTGTAACCTGATAACAATAAAAGTGAAAGCATTAATCTGAATGTAAATAACAATCACTCCGCGTCCCAGTAATTCAAATGAAAATTACAAAATGTTTTAATACTTAACTGCCTAAGAATGAGTTATAACACTTTGTAAATACAATAGATTGAGACAAACAACAAATCTAAAAAAAATTTATTTTACTATCGTTTTGTTTGGTAAATGATCTTATTAAAAAGTCAAATGGTATATTTCGACCTCAAGTTAATATCTTTTTTTTTCCATTTTGGGCTATTCTTTGAGGAAAAATACCTCAACCTCAGTCCTCAACTATATAATAAAATTTCACTAAAAACGTTAATTCTAAATTTTTAAATCGTATTGCAGATGCTTTCATGATGGGAACAATTTTAAAATTACTTTTAAGTTGTGCTTATGCAACAGTTGTAATAGGGCATGATTGCTCTGAATTATACAAATGATTGACTTTTCATAATAGTCTAAAGTTATATTTAGACATGGTGTATTGCAAGCTGATAGAAAAATGTTTATATTTAGAATACTTGTTAAAATAGTAACAAATATAACTCCATTGATGCAACATCTCATTCTATTCATTCTTGTTCATCCAATTTTAAATGCTATCTTCCCATAATTTTATTGTTAGATAATAATATAGCTTCTATTAAAAGAAAAAAATTGTAGTTCCAACGAATGATTTAAAACAGTGCACTGTTTTACTCAAATTAAGAAGTGACCAGTCGAAATATTTCCATAAAATAACTCATTCATTGTAAATTCAAGTTTTTTCTTCTAATTATGCAACTACCAACAGACAAGCATCCTAATGTTAATGTAGCTTCTAATTTATTGATTTATTTGATTTACTGAAATAAATTGGAAGATCAAATATAAAGATTTTTTTTTTTTTTTTTTTTAAATTCTAGGAGATGAAATGTATTGGAAAGGAGAGTAAATCACAGAATATAGTTTTGTTCTAATTATTTGTAGAAAAATACCAGATTTTGATTTAAAAAAAGGCCACCCTCCACCCACATGGAGCACATTACACAGTACAGTAATAAAGTGAAACAGTAAAAATAGAAAATAGATAACAAAAAAGAACAATTCCTGACCTTTACTCCTGTGGTAAATAAATAAAATTAAACACATGGAGTACATGCACAGCAGTAATGAAATGAAACAGTTAAAAAAAGAAAAAAAAAAAAAAAAAAAGATAATTCCTAAACTTTTACTTGTGGCAAATAAATAAAAAAACAAAAAAAACATGGGGAACACAGTACTCGAGGACTTGAAAAATCTCTCAGCCTTCTCCTGAATCAACATAAGGCACACTGGGATACACCATTAATGCTGGTTTTCCACCAAAGCATTAATAAATGTGTCATCTCAATAATGCAATCACTATGATGCTTTGTAATCACAGTAGATTTCATAGGAGCAGATCCATTCACATGTTCAAGTATATACATTTTATCACCAATGATCCTTGAGACAGTTGTACGACTTAGTCCTAGCAACTTGACGATGTTTCACCTTTCTGAGCGTCTAATTATATGACTTTCTTTTTCTTTGAAGCACTGCTATCAGAAGAGTCTACCTTACACTTGGGAGCTATAATGAAGGGCAAAAATTTAAAAAAAAAAAAAAAGTTATGAGACATTTCCAAATTGGTTTTGTTTTCTTTACTTTTGTTCAAAATAGGTTGATTGAATAGTTTTAAGAGCTAACATTGATAACTCATTGTTTTCATTCTCAACTAAAATATATGTAAACTGTAGAAGAAATGTATTACATAAATTGACCAGTTGGCATTTCCTCATTCTGTTGTCACTGACTTCTCTGCTCAGGTTAAATGAGAAAGATAATAAAACCGGATATCATAAAAAAAAAATAAAAAAATTGATAAATATTTTGGAGTAAAAGTACCATAAATGATAAAACAATAAGTAATTAATAATAAAATTAATAAGTGATTTCTTAGAAAGCTAATACAAAGTTAATAATGCAATTCCTTAGTATTAATAATGAATGATCAAGAATTGAAATGTTCAACAATACTCAAATTTTATTTAAGCACCAAACCTGATATTTTCAGTATTTTAAAGATTGATTACTATTCAGTATGAAAATTACTAAAATGTTTTTTGTGAATCAGTAAAGTTAGATTGGCATATAAGTCAATTTTTTATCTTTTTTCTTTTTACCTCAAATCTAACTCTATTAAATACTTTGAATCTGGTATACAAGTTGGTATGGTTTTTAAATTATTTTAAAAGCTTAAATCTCAGCCTACCAAGGGAGAATAACCTCTCTGAGCTTCAGGATATGGTAAAAAATACAATTGTAATCCCCATTCATCATTTCATTAACATTGATTGCCAACCACATGATTAACTCTTGGTTAGCAGTTTTTATTATGACGCTAAGAGTTATCTTGTGCTTGGTAGTGTGAAAACAATATTAAGATTTCAGTTGAAGCAATAAATCAACTCCTAAAATTTTTTTATTATGATGGCTATTATAAAGTTGGCATTTGAAGTTGGATTTTGTAATTGACCTCTGGCAGTCAACATATTAACAAAAGTACATTTCAGTGTAAATTTTTTATAAGAGAAGCAGAAAAATTAAGATTTATACTGTTGTAAACTTTTATGACAGCATTTTAAATACATTACTATTATACTTACATATATCAATTCTAAGTTCCTCTATATAGTTTCATTTTATGTCCAATGGACACTTGGTGACAGTTTTCTCTTTATAGTAAGTTTTTTTTGTTTTTTTTTTTTATTTGACAACTAGAAATTAAAATATTTTTAATCCATAGTGTCAGCAGAATACATCGATTGGCTAAGCTGGTCATAACCACTTTTGGCATCTAATTATTTTACTGCTTGGTTGGTTTGACTCCCCATGGCTGGCTTGGAATTAAAGAGTCAGCTTATACACCTGGTGTTAAGCTTTTTGATTGATGAGTTTACTTTCTTTTCAGCTTTTCCACGTTATACAGGTCTCCCGAATACAAAACTTGGAATATACCTTGAAAACCGTGTAAATAATTTCCTCAAAAATAAAGATGCAGGTGCTGGAGAAGTAACTATCCGGGTTTTGTCAAGTTCAGATAAATCAGTGGAGGTGAAACAAGGAATGAAAAGCCGGTATGTTAGCTACTTCATAGATTCTCATTGATTTCTTTACAAAATACTAACTTTACTGTGTAGATTAAATTTTTATATTATTTATTCTTTTTAATTTTTGTACAAAATGACAAAAAAAATTAGAATTGTTTGTGAATTAGTTTATTTAGCATTTCATTTAAAAAAAATAAGATATAGTTTTTCTAAATGGATGTTGAATATAGCTGACCAATCTAATTTTAAATATCTTGAATTTTGATATGTATGTATATTTTACTGAATATAAATGTTTTTTTCTGTTTGTTGTAGGTTTGGGGATGAAATGCCAGACAGCTTTCCATATAGAGCTAAGGCAATGTTTGCATTTGAAGAAATTGATAATGTTGATGTTTGTTTCTTCGGTATGCATGTACAGGAATATGGCTCAGATTGTAACCAACCAAATAAAAGGTATGTCATTTTTCTTTGTTGATAGAAGAATGTAAATAAAAGTTTCAATTGTTAATTTGTTGCATTTTCATTGAATATTTTATCATTTTACCTACAACAATATAATTTTTAAAAAACACAAATTTAGTATGATAATTTTAGTATCATAAATTATAAATATAACAATATTGTAACATAAATTTCATTATTAAATTGTAATTTGTAACATAAGTTTTATTATTAAATTTTCAATCATACCATGCAAACAAGTGAATTTTTTTCATGTGTTGCTTGTTAGATAAAACAACTTTGGGGAAAAAAAAACTTGTTCCAATTTTATTTCAGGCGTGTGTATATATCTTATTTGGATAGTGTTCACTTTTTCCAACCACGATCTCTCAGGACAGCTGTTTATCATGAAATTCTGATTGCTTATTTGGAATATGTAAGGCGATTAGGATACACAATGGCTCATATATGGGCTTGTCCTCCTAGTGAAGGAGATGATTATATTTTTCACTGCCATCCTCCAGAACAGAAAATTCCCAAACCTAAACGGCTGCAAGAATGGTACAAGAAGATGCTGGATAAAGCTATTATTGAGCGTGTTGTGATTGATTACAAGGTAAGTTTAAAGGATTGCATGCAGAATTTTTTTATTTTTATTATTTGTTGTCCAAGGATATCACAGCCCTTGTTAGCTATGATTGTAGTGTGATTTTTGTCATTTAAGCTATTTTGTTGTATAAAAATGAAGGAATTAATGAAACAATTTTATATAATTAAGTCTTATAGTTGGAATGAGTACCTTAACCATAATCTAGAAACTACTCTTGACGAGCTTGGTACCTGTCACTTGGCTGATGGCATTATGATCAAGTTTCAAATATAAATTTTTTTTTGTCCATTTTAAAATACTGCATTTATTAGAAAATATATTCAGTTTACAAATGACTTGAAAGGGGGAACACATTTAGGCATATGCTCTTTCTTTTTATTAAGTGGTTGATGAAGTTAACCCTTGCAACACAGATGTCCTTTTCAATCTTATTAAATTTGTGTGTGTGTGTGTGTGTGCATTATATTTTAATTCAATGACAAACCTAAAAATTTCTACAAAAAATTTTTAAAAATGAAAAAATTTATTACTGAATAATTTCTGAAAAGATCAATAAAACCTTATAATAATCTAATTTTTTTTTTAAGATTTAAAATATTAACAGGTTTGTTTGTGAGAAAATAGTTATGCCATGCTTGACTGACAGAAAAATGACCTAATTTCAAATCTAAATTGTTTATACATTTAAAATACTGCATTTATTAGAAAAATATTCAGTTCAATACAGAAACAAGGGGGTAAAAATTTGTTGCTAAATGAACATAAACTAATTCACTATTAAAAAAGGGTAGATTCATAGTGATATCTGGAGGAAAGTGTGTCTGCATTAGCAATGTTTGGAATTGTTCCTTCACAATTGACAACTTTCATATTTGTCTTAATGAAAACTTTACGACTCCAAATAGATGACCTTTTCATTTATGTATCGATTTACAAAGGTCATAGAGCTCTGTGGATTACCAGAGGAATTTGCCAAGAATCTCTGCGTAGAACTAATTTTCCTCCAAGAAGTTTCCCATTGTTCATTATATCTTGAAGGGTATCAGTCAGTTTCAGGTTAGTGACACATTGGAGATTCATCCTATACGAATAGCTGAGGATTATAAAGAAAGCAACTAGTTGCATCATGAAGCAAGATATGATGTGTTCACGTAGATATCGTATATCATCATCAGTCTGTTTATATCTATTTAATAGTACTTACAACATGATAGCATAGATATGACTATAAAGTAAATATTCACTTTTTTATTTATGATGATAAAGTGAGTTTAGGCTAAACTTTTTTTCTTTTTTTTCTTTTTTTTAAATTAATAACTATAAAAATGTTAATTCAGGAAAAAATGACACATGTGAAATGAAGGGAAAATAGCATGAGTAATTTTAGAGGAAAAACTGGTAATATTTTTAAATTTTAAAAAATAAAAATTTATTAAATTTTGTAGAAATATTTTAGGTTAGTCATTGAATATACATGCACAAATGTACAAATATACAATTTGAATGAAATTGAAATGGACATTTGTGCCATAAGAGCTAATTTCCCTTTCTCACTGATAACAATTACATAGTAAAGCCAAAATGTAGAGACTTTTATGGCTTTTTTAGGGTAGGGGGTTGTCCAGACTGGGAGAGGTATGTATTATTTCAAACTTAGAAAGGGTATGTGCATGCTTGTGTATACATTAAATGGCACAAGTACATGTAAGTCACTCACACAGCACAGATATATACATTACATGGACACATTCAAAGTCACATGTAGACAGAGTATGATCAATAAAGAATCAGTTCTTCTTTTATAATATACCATATATACTTCTGTATCATGCAACATTTGAAGACTAATTTTAAGGGGGTTGCATCATGCATGAGATAAACTATATATCCATTTACTGTAGTCAAAAAGTACAACTATATTTAAAATAAACATGACTTTGATAAAACTGATGTTTTACTTAATTGTATCCAATAATAATGCATGTAATATTCACATATTAGTATCATATAAAATAAAACAACAAATATACATCTTTTCCATTGTTTATGTTAATAAGATGTTTATCTGATTTTCGTTCGGTTGTTTACGGCTTTATGCGTTTACACAACGAGTATAGTGTTACTAATGATACTTTTATCATTCTCTTTTACTTTTTTAATTTATTTAACTAGAAGATGGGATAAAGAGATAGAGGAAAAGAGTCTACTGTAATTTGCTCTGTCAAAAAGGAACTTGCATGATACATGAGGTACATGATAAAATCATTTTTCATAAGTGAAAATTTGGAGATCACACAATACACAAGATCATGCGTTACACAAGTATACAGTAGTTTAATTTGCTCTTTTCTGATATACAGTCAAAGAATTTTTTGTGTTCCTCAAGTTGAAAATAGCAAATTGAAAACAATAAATCTCAATTTTTCATCTTCATCTATTATTTAAGTGTAACTGTTAAGTTACTTTAATCTTTTGTTTGGCAGTATACTCAACTTTTAACTATTATCAAAAGTCTGTTAATCCAGACAAATTGCTAAAGTTGCACATGTTACCATTAATAGGATATTCTAAAAGATGCTGTAGAAAACAACCTTACAAGTGCAACGGAGATGCCATATTTTGAAGGAGATTTCTGGCCAAATGTTCTTGAAGAAAGCATCAAAGAACTGGACCAAGAGGAAGAAGAGAAGCGGAAAAGAGAAGAAGCAGAAGCTGCTGCTGCTGAAGAAGCAGCAGAACAAGGAGAAGAAGGAGAAGCAGGCCAAGTATGTTCAGTTGTTGAATTCATTTTATTCCCAAGCAGGCTATCAAGCATCCTTTTAGATAACTTTTGAACGCTTACATTTGTTCAAGCTAACTCTAAAAACCTTTTTTAGATTTTTACAAAATAAAAATTGATAATTAGTTTAGTAATTTCAAATATTAGTTCTTAGAGTTAATTGAATATTCAAATTGCTTTTAAATTCAATTGTAATTTATACCTAATTTTTTTTTAGAAAACTTGGTAAATTTTACACTTTTAGATAAATTATAATGTATTAGTAATTTTCTAAAGAAAACTGAAAAAAATTAGAAATCTGTTCAGGTTTGTTTGCTCCATAATAGTGTGATAATATATAATTATTCTTCTCAAGCTCATTTTTGCTATATTAATTTCTACATGAATTTAAATCCTGAAGGATACTAATGTTACTTATTTTGCTAACAATGTAAGACATGCTGGATTTTGCAATTAGTTTTAATTATTCCCAAATTTATTTCCAAACTGTAAAAATTATTGTAGAAAAAAATTTGTTGCAAAAAATCATATTTAAAAAAAAAAAAAAGAAAGAAAGAAAAGAAAAAACTGCCAACAACAATCACAGTAATGAAAACTAAGAGTAAATTTGAAAACAAACAATTTTATTTTGAAACACTAATTTTAGAACTAACTTTTTCATTTGAATATGAGCTATTAAAAGTTAGAGAGTTGTGTACCTTTAATTGTTTTTATCAAAAGAAGCCAATATGGTGGAATCCCAAAACAATCACAGTAATAAAACCTTGAAATCCAAAATGCTCATGGAGTTGGCCAAATTCCAAAATGGTATATTATGGGCTTACAGCTTCTAAATAAAGTTGAAAAAGTGTGACACTATATATATATATATATATATATATAAAGAATGTATGAACATATATAAGATATTGCAAATTGAGTGCTGGTGCTAAATAGTGTTCGATGTAATATAGCAGAGCTATTAAGTATATATTAATAAATTTACATATTCCTCACCAGTAGCACAGCTCGGTTTCATGCACAATGCAATCTTCAAGTGCTGAGTGGAGACTAACCATTACATATGTTAAATTTTAATTTTTTTATTTTATATTTATAAACAGGGTTTTTTTTAAAAGAATATGTATTAAAATAGATGGATTTCAATGAAACTAATATAAAATTTGACATCAATACTGGAATGTATGCTACTTTGGTGTACAATATTATCAGTCATACATTGCAAAATTAATGCTCAACAAACGTACTTATAAATTTTAGATTAAAATAAAATTCTTTTTCGTTTTTCATTTAAAATATACTATTTTAGGAATACATTTTCACAACATCGCCCACGTGATCATATTGTGAAACGGAACACTGATCTTAAAAATTTCAGATTAAGACATTATGTTTTAATAACTATTTCCTGAAGAAGGTCTACTAGACTGGAACGTCTGACGTCGACATTGAAATAACATTAAAACAGCATATTTGCATATTCGGATTTTTGTTTTTTCATATATTTTTCTTCATATATATATATATATAAGAGTCAACCATCATCAGGATCATCAAATCAATGTGAATGCTCCTTTCTTTAGCTACATACAGTTTAGAATTCAGAGTTTTCCTTCTCTTAGGCTGGTTGCCACCCAAGGCTATAGAATCCAGTCTGTTCTACTATTTACCCATAGCTAGAGATATTAGCATGTAAGTGAATGTAATGAGCTTGACTGGAATTCAAACGACTGATTCCTCAATCCAATCTGCAACTCTACTGTGTTCATGAATTGGATTAAACGGATAAGAGTATCCATTACTACAGTACTACTGGGTATTTAGTTGCATCAAAAATTTACAATAGGTTATTTTATATATGGCTCATTTGAACTAAATAAATGCCTGTCAGTATTGAAGAATCACTAACCTATTTATGTACATTTCTGTTTAAAGGTAAAAAGCAAAAAATGTAATAGGTGCTTATAAACTGAAAACATTCTTTTTTTAAAAACTAAGAACTGCTATTTCCTAACCAGGTCAGTCTGAGAACTAAACATTTGTAATTAAAGATTTCACCTAAATAAAGTATATTTAAAGATACCAGAATAATTTAAATTACAGGAAACATTCAGATATTGCTTCTTAGGTTTCTGTTCTTTTGGCCCTTATACTTCATTTTCAGATATCCCCATTCACTATAACAGATATCCAGAAATTACTAAAATGTTTGTAGTCATCATTTCAGAATGGTCAGGGCAAGAAGAAAGGACAGAAAAGTGGTCGAAATAAAAAAGCTAATAAAAACAAAAGCAACCAGCGGAAAAATAATAAGAAAACCAACCTGCCTCATGGTGGAAATGATCTCTCAGCAAAGTTATACTCTACCATGGAAAAACATAAAGAAGTATGATATTCAACTGTTTATTTTTCTCTCTTTTGTACATTTTTATTTTATTTTATTTAAATCCTCTTGAATATTTGTAAATATTCTTGTTTAAACATTTCATAGTTAGCATTTATTTTCTGCAAGAAAAAAAACAAAATGCATGCAATACAGTTATTGTCTTGACTTATTTTCATCTCTTCTTAGTCAATGTCATGATGCTTTTAGCACCACCTTGTATGTTGAGATTTTTTTACAGCTTAAAATTACTATAGTTAAGCTCAATTTACAGTTTTATTAGCTGTCAGTTTAATTAAAATATTTTGCTGATTATTTTAATTCTATTTTTTACTTTTTCTATTTAATATGGAATTTGAAAAAAAATTCAATTGCTTTAAACATTTTATTATAATCATCTTGCAGCATAGTTTCATTTTATTATAATCATCTTGCAGCATAGTTTGCTTTAAGAAATATGGTATGTATATTAAAACATGTTCTTTTACTTTTAAACTAAATATTTTTTCTCCCCCTTTCAACACTTCCAGGTATTTTTTGTCATCCGTCTTCATACCCAACAGGCAGCGAGTACATTACCACACATAGAAGACCCAGATCCTCTAATTTCTTGTGATCTGATGGATGGTCGTGATGCATTTCTTACCATTGCAAGAGAAAAGCACTATGAGTTTTCTTCTTTACGAAGAGCAAAGTATTCTTCAATGGCATTACTTTATGAATTGCATAATCAGGGAAGGGACAGTTTTGCCTACAATTGTAACAATTGCAAATCTCTTGTTGAGACTAGATATCATTGCTCCCAATGTGACGTAAGTATTTTTTTCTTTTTTTTTCTTTCACTTCATTTTTCCATAAAAATATGGAATTTTAAATTTACTTATTCTGTTCCAGTTGTTAAATGTTGAATCATTCTCGTAAAATCATACAAGACGAAAAAACATACAATGCAAATGAATAATTTCTAATAATTCTTGAACTTGTTTAGAATTAGAATTCACAAAAAACTTGAATATAATCAGTAAAATAATGGTAGGTGAGAGAATTCAGTATATTTAATTGAATTATTGGATGAAAAATTTTATGTATAAAATATCTGAATCTTTATTTTCAATAAAATTACATGATTTTTTTATCATTTTAGGATTATGACCTTTGTGTTCCTTGTTATGAGAAGGAAGGTCATCCACATAAAATGGATAAACTAGGATTTGACCTTGATGACGGGACCACATCAGCAGAAAAACAAGAAAATCCTCAGGAATGTCGGCGACAATCTGTTCAAAGGTGCATTCAATCTATTATACATGCTTATCAGTGCCGGGATGCTAACTGTCGCCTTGCTAATTGTCAAAGGATGAAGCGTGTTGTTGCACACACAAAAATTTGTAAGCGTAAGACAACTGGTGGTTGTCCAATTTGCAAACAGTTGCTAGCATTGTGCTGTTATCATGCAAAACATTGCACAGAAAACAAATGCCCAGCTCCATTCTGCTTCCAGATCAAGCATAAGTTAACACAGCAACAATTGCAGCAGAGATTGCAACAAGCTCGAATGATTCGTCGACGTATGGAAACAATGACACAGCGAAACTCAAGTAGCACTGTGCAGTCATTACCACAACAACCACAGTTGCCGCCATTCGGTGGGAAACCCCAGGGTCCCCCTCCAGGTGCTATGCAGGCGGCCCGTCAAGCCCAGGAAGCAGCTCAGCGTCAAGCCGTCTCATTAGGCAAACCCTCAGGCCCTATCAACAGCCTACCACCACAAGCTGCAAAGATCCAAGCAATGCAGTCTAAAACAGTCAATCCAATGGCACAGACTACAATGATGCAATCATGGCAAGCATACCCAAGTCAACAGGGAGCTCCTCCACCCCAACCAGTTCCTCCTCCTCCTCCACCACAGCCACGCCAGATGCCACCACAAAGAATGCCAATGCAACAGACTCCTCCACAACAGCAACAACAACAGCCACCACCACCAGGGGGAGCACCACTCAACACAGGGATGTCCCCTACACCGCAAAGGACATCTATGCAGCAATTGAAGCAAGTGTTGAAAACACCACAGTCCCCCCAGCAACAAACCCAAATTCTTAACATCTTAAAATCTAACCCAAATCTAATGGCAATGTTCATAAAAAATCGTGATCATCATCAACAGCTGCAGCAGCAGCAACAACAGCAGCAGCAGCAGCAGCAGCAGCAAATGTCTAATATGCAAAGCCTTCAGCAACCAGGTGGTCAACAGGTAGCAGCACAGCAGCAGTGGTATACAAAATTGCCTGTTCAGGCCAGGCAGCAACATCAACAGCAGCCAGCTATGGCTCCATTTCCACAAGCAACGCAGTTTACACAACGAACAAGAATGAGCTTCTCCCAGCCAGGTTTTCAAGGTGATGGCTCACAGCATATGGCCCCACAGTTTCAGCAGCAGATGCTACAGCAGCAAATCAAACAGCACATCTCTGGTGGACAGCCTGTCAGTCCCCAACAAATGCTGGCCCAACAGACAGCCCCTTCCCCACAGCAAATAATGCAGCAGGTGCGTTCTCCTCCAACTTCCGCATTACCACAGACTGTCCGCTCACCCCAGCCAACCCCATCACCACGGCAGCAAGCCATACCCTCGCCTAGACAGCCTCAACAGTCACATCATATACCTCCTACCACTCATTCACCTCATCCTGCTGTCGCTGGGACGACAACAACTACTACCACCAACCCTGACCCTAATCAAATCCATTCAGAACAGGTTTTGCTCCCACAGTTACAAACTCATGGTAACGTCTCACAGCTTAAAAGTCCAAGCGGGTCAGAATTAACTTTGGGACAAGATTCTGAAGTTTCTTCAATAAATCCACAGGACTCGCTAAAATTGGTTGACAAAGTGTAGGGAGAACAAAATTAATTTTCTTTTATCTATAATTTTTTTTTTTTTTTTTTTTTTAAAATTTTAAAGACTTTTTATTTTTTAATTTTTTTTTTTTTTTTTAACACTTTTCAAAATACTGTCAAAATATTTGGGGAAAAACTCTTTGAGAGATTGTAAAATTATCAAAAATCAGTCAGAATCTTTAAAAGAAAAAAAAAAAATCAAAGAATCGCAAGAAAGGGGCATCCATGAAATTTCATGTTAAAAAAAAAACGTTAATAAGGAAACACTACAAATAGATTTGGTCTTTGACATTTATATTTTGTTCGTTCTTTTTTTCTTTTTTTTTTTCTTGCTTCCCCCTTCCCCACAGAAACAAAAGTTTTAATTTTTTTCAGAGGAAGAGAAATGTTTATTTTATTTTATACAAGCAAGAGAAAAAAAAAATTTAAAAAAAGATAAAGTAGGTAGCTATTCAGTTAACATCTTGTCACATGACCAATGGACTTGAAATTATAAATTGTACAATTTGTATAGGTAGTTCATGGAGAGTGTGTCATCCTTTGCATTGCGAATGTGCCTAGGTCTTCCTCTGTAGTAGTAATTTAACCACTTCCTTTGTTTTAGGTGTCAAAGGTTACAATGTTATTGTCATAGAATTGAACACTGTCATTACAAGAGGAAAATGAAGAAAAACAAATGGCTGATTGAGTATGATCCCCCACCCCGATGGTCTCCATTTGATTATTTCCACAGAACATTTATGAATGATTATTTCTATTCACTGAAAAGTGAATTTCTGTACAGAGCGCACATTTCTTATTAATGGTATATTAATATCTTAATAAATGTGTGCACTTCCTATTTTAAAGGCTTGTGTTCACGTGAGGGTCTGTGTACGAGATAGGGGTGAAATGACACCAGGGATAGGTTGACATAGGCTGCTGCTCCTCCTTCCCTGTGTTGTTTTGCTTTTGCTTCAACATTATTGTTGCAGTTAACATATCAATTGAAAAAAACTGTTTTCAGAAGTGGTTACCATGCTCATGTGTAAGATAGATGTGCTCATTTATTAACCCACCTCAGTTCCAAATTTTAGAAGAAAAAGAAGCATGAAAATTATCATTTCCATTTGTCCTGGTAATGCTATTGATTGGAACAAATTAAATCAGACCGTTTTTACTTGCATTTATGTGCTATCTTACAAACTTTAGAAAATGTTCAATGCCAGGCAGGCCAAATCCAATACCAAAAAATTGGAAGTGACAGCAAAATAGAAAAGTTACATTTCAGTCATGTTGAGTTGGAAACAGGCGAATGCAGCAGCACTTTTGCCCAATCAAGGGAAATAAGCATCATGGTATAAAATGCCATGCTTTGTGTAACAGCAATTTTGTTGAAGTCTTTAAATTAAATTACTGCTACTGTTATTGTTTATGTAGATGTGTCTTTGTATGTTTTGTGCTGTTTTGCCAGAAAGTATTAGCTAAAAAAGAAACAGAAAAACGCTGAGCTCTGAAGATTTACCTATTCTCGTTTCAGAGTGTCATCATTTCCAAACATTTTTAAAAAAAAATACATTTGTAAGATAATTGTTGATATTTTTTTTAAATACTGCCTCCTGTTGTAATATAGACAATTCACTGAAAAATGGCTTTCAAAAAACACAAACCCAAACAGTTTGATAAAATATTTGCAAATCACATCTGTGTTTGTATATGTGCACTGCAATTTCATGTATGTGAGAAAAAGGTTACAATTTAAGCAACATTTTTATTCTAGTATTCCATTAAAACACAAAACTACTAAAAAGGCGGGTGAGTGACAAAGCTGGGGTGGTTGGGATAAGAGAAACTGCTATGGACACTGCCAAAAGATCAAGGGCTTTTATTTCTACCAAGAGTAAGAATACATCACAAATTGTTTAATGCCTTGCTGAGATTTTTAAGATATTGATTATTATATATGAATTTTAAATAATTTAGATAATATGTATGATTTTTAAATAATTTAGATAAAATATATGATTTTTAAGTAATTTGGATAATGTAGTTTTTTAAAAATAATTTAGATATGAATTTTATATATCATCCTTAATTTAGGAGTATTGAAGAAAAGAATGCTAGAAGAAACAGATAAAACTTTAAAACTTGATTATAATGAAGGACTGAGTCAGCCACCTTAGTCTGTGTTGCTACTAGTATTTTTTTTCTCTCTCTCTCTCTCTCTCCCTCTCTATACTCAAACATACATGCACTCACTGCTTAATCATCTTATTCCCACACTATTTCTTTTTAAAATGGAATTAGATATTAATGGATTATTTATCTGAAACTTTTTTTAAGCTTTCATATTTAATGCATCAGTCACCCGCCCTTTTTGGCAGGATTTGAACAAAGTGTAACTCACACTTGACCTACCTACTATGTAGGGAGAGGATGTAATAAATAAATGTCCTGATTGATACTTCTGCCTAAACAGTTAACATCTGAGACATGCTACTTGATTGTCTGTGGGACGCTTGCATTCTCAAGCTCAATTATTCACAGGTATCAGTAGACTTCCAAGTAGTATCATGACTTACTGTAGTCTTCTCACTTATCTGGGTGCTGACCCCTTACACTTAGATTCTAATAGAGGAGAATATCATATATCAGCTATGGTCCTTGTATTTAGGTCCTCTTAATACTAGTCTGCAGTAGTCTGTACTTTTTTTTTACATGCTTGTAAAATTTGCATTGCTTAAAACAAAAATATATATATATATATATATATATATATATATATATATATACACACACACACACACACACACATTTATGTCCAGCTACATAGGGAATTTTGAGGTCAATTTGGGAGTGAGATCATGTGTGTGCATGATTTTTATTCATATAATCATATACACATGTATGTATGTATTTATATGACACTTGTGTAATTTTCATTATATTACCTTATTTAAAAAAGCTTAATGCTCAGAAGTCAGTTTTACTTCATGATTTGCTTTTCTAAATGAATCTACTTCAAGCACAAACATCTTTTTAAAAAGGAAAAAATATGTAAAGATATAAAAATCGTAAGCCTCTCTTTTTCTTTTTTTAATTTGTATGATTGGTATTGAATTCATATGAAACAGACTATAATATCATTTACATCAACCATAATTTTATCAAAATCATCAATACAATGAAAAATGTGTAAGTGTACACTTAGTATTCAGGTGCATATGTGTTATGTCTGCACAGACTTTTGAATGAGATGTGAATGACCGTAATTAGTGTATAAGTTGTGTGGATGAGTAGTCATAAAAAAAATGATGTACACTTAATTGAACCATGATTTTGTTAAAATATAATTTCCGTTTTAGCTTTTTGCCTCCCTCTACTTTTTTTTTTTTTTTGTGATTTTGTTTTGCTAGTCTAGTGTTCCTGTTGCACAAAATCTTTTTTGAAACCCTAAGCTTTTGTTCTTTATAGTCTGAACTGTTGGCTAAGATATATAGCCATAAAATTCTTCCCATAAAAAAAAACTGTTAAGCCTAAAACATCTGCATTATATAATTTAAAAAAGACAAAAATCTAATGCATTATTCTTGTTAGCAAATCATTTCTATTAAAAGTTGGCAACTAACTTGAAATAGACTTGTCTCCCGAATATCCCATTTTTCATTTTTCTTGTTTTTATTTTTTTCTTAATTTTAAAAGAAAAACATTTCTAATTTAATTTTTACTATCACACTATTTATCATTTACTAAGTTTATAGACAATACATTAAAATATATACTCAGACGATTAATGATTTTAACGAAATTACAACCTAGATTGTTTGAAACAATCAGATCATGAAAGTTTAAAGCGATAAGTTTCAACAAAAAATTGTTGAATGTATAGCTGGGGAAATGATGCATTAATGCTATTAATTCTGATAGAATGCAGATGACGTCTGATGGAACAATTTTCTTTTTCCTCTCCCACTTCTGTTATGTTCTCACCATCATTTTGAGAACCAATGTTGAATTCAGAACTTGGCTGTCATCTTAGTAATCTCACTATTTAATATAAACCAAATTTTATTTTTTAAAACAAAAATTAAAAAATAAGAAAAAAAATTGTAAAAAAAAAAATAAAAAAAAAATAGTATTTATTGGTAATTAGTTTTTTTTCTTCTTTTTTTATTGGTGATGGTTCGATAAAAATGAATCAATATGTTCATCAAATGCTCAAAGTATTTGAATTTTGTTTTTATTTTTAAAAAGAGAATGAAAACACACATACGTACACACACACACACACACACACTATATATATATATATATATATATAATTGCTGTATATATGTATGTACATGAAGATGGAGCAGAAAATGTTTTTCATTTTTCATATTTGGCCCAATATACATTTCTGCAGTACATGCTCAGAAAAAAAACATTTTTTAAACAAAACAAATACAAAATTTCCTCTACAAAATCTATTTAATTGTGGGAGAAAAGACTTGTGCTTGTCTGGAATGGGTTATCTGGCAAAACGTGACATTTGGGTTGGTGACTGACAAAGTAAATCATTGAAGACAAAGCTTATATTCCCACTTTTTTGCAATGGAAACAAAGATGAATGATGGAATGTTTTATTTTTTACCAATCTTGCTGCATTGGTCGCCATTCCCTTACTGAATAAATTATTCATAAATATGTTAATGGATTCTTTTCAATTTTTTTCCCTCTGCTTTAAATTCATTTGCACAAATTTTTCCTTTCTGTTTTCAACTGCAGGTAGTTGACCTGGAAATGGTATAATTGTAGAATTAAGCTACTTAAATATTTTTTATTTTAAAACATTAAAAAGGATCCAGTAATCCAAAATGTTAAAAACCTAGATTAGAAAGAGGAGCTTATTTACATGTGGCGATATTAATCCTTTCTGATTCTGTTTCTCATATAAAATTAAAAAAAAAAATATTTTCTATATATACACACATATATATATATATATATATATATATATATATATATATATATATATAT